GAGTGCGGGGCGGGGGATTGGGGATGGGGGGCCCCACTGTACCTGTGCGTTACAGCGCTGGGTGCTGGGATGGGTCTGCAGCCGTCGCTTCCGCCTTCCCCGCGCCCGACTCTGAGCCCCGAAGTAACGCCAAATACTTGCTCCTACCAGATCCACCCTCTCCTCCTAGACGGGCGCCCCTAAACTCCAAAGGAAGGTAATAAATCGTCTTACCCAGACACACACACACAGCCTGGACCTTTCCCGAGGTACAGCGACTCCCCTGGCCTTCCAAGATGGTCCCTTGGCGGTTCCTTGCCCTCTGGGGCTCTCTCACTGAACCATGCTGCAGTCACCTCCATCCCTGGCCAGGGACGCATAGCGTATCACCCCTTCCCCTGCAAAGCCACCTTTCTCAGGTTCCTTTTCCACAATCGAGATAGACTGCGACTTCACTGAATATTAAGAACAAAAAGAGGAATCAAGTGAAAGAAGCATAAATAACCTTGTGTCAATTTAAGAAACATCCAAACCTGTGAGAATTTTTATGAGTTTGAGCCAAACTGACACTTGCCCAGAAGCAAAATCACAACAGCTATTCTCTATGCTCCAGAGAATAGCAGTATTGCACCTTATTTTATACATTACAATCAAAAGAAGAGGCATAAGGGGATTATATGAAATTCATTGGTGATACATTAGAAAATCTCTGGGATTGAATAAAAAAACGAACAGACACATACTTTTACATAGGTGGGTATAAGATAGTTAACAATTAACACAATAACAATGAGGGGCTCTGTGGTCTTCTGCTCTGGTGGAAAATTGTGCCCTGGAAAAAGGAAATTATCCTGACATTCCAAAGGTATGTATATTATCCTGGATTCAAAAATACAATAAGTCAGACTCAGTTAAGGTAAAGATGGACCTTGGCCAAGAAAGACACCAGCCCAGGACATGACTACCTGCCGTGACCTGTTTTTAGTTAGAAAGTCTTAATTTCAGACCATCCTATGTGGTAACTTTTACGCAGGCCTCCCTTGAGCTGTCAGGTTTAGTATGTGGTCCATTTTTTGCTCACACTTATAAAGCCAAATATTTGATCCTACCATATCTACTTTAGGCTCTCAATCCTAGTCATATCCTAAGAACCCAGTTCAAAAATAGCCCCCCCCAGCCCTCCCCTTCTCTTTTCTCAGGCAGTCCCTACTCTGTCACAGGTAGAGCTGAGAGCTACTTCCTGCTCCTCTGCTGCCACCCAACAACAGGATGGGCCAGTGAAAGTGAGCACTGGCAGGCGGAGAAACAGGGCAGAACAATTCATTACCCTGACAGCTGGTTTCCTCTCACTCCACTTCCCAACAATTCTGTTTCAACTTTTCAGGCAAACAGTGGCCTTATTACTAAATTCAAATGATACTTTTGTTGCCTCCATTTCCCCTGAGAGTCTGTCTTTGGCAACTGACAAAGTTGACTATTGTCTCCTCCAAATACTGTATTTTCTTGATGTCAACCACCCCATGCCGCTTTTATGCTCGCTAAACTTGTTAAAATTCTTTCAGTCTCCTCTGCCTGTTCCTCTCACAACCCTTCAAATCAGTGCTTTTCACTTTTTTTTCATTGCAATACTACTAATAGCAAGTGCCATAAACATTTCCCCATTCACCACCCACATCCCATGCATAAATAAAACTAAAGGTAATAATGTCAAGGGCAAATTCACTTGAAGTTTTCCACTTTATGTCTCAAATTGCTCTAATTTTTGCACTGTTCTTCATATTCACATGTTGTACTAAGAAAATATTTTAAATTGGTTATGAGTTTCATTACTTAAATTTTCTACCCAAATTATTAAGTATACATTTCAAGAAAGTGTACTGATAATGTATGTCACAAATATTTGGTGTCTTCTACACTAGAGATATAGTGTGAACAAGACACACGTGGTCCCGAGTCCTCACGGAGATTTCACAATCTAGTCCAGGAGACAGACAATAGACATGTAAACAAGTAAGAAAATTTCAGGTCCATTCGTTATCAAGGAAATAAAAGAGTAAAGTGGGAAGGAGTGTTAATTAAATCAGAGAAGAGATGGCTTCTCTGACATGTAAAATGTTTTCCCTGTGGCTTCCCAGCCCTATAACCCTTGACATTAAATGCCGGTGTTTCCAAGGTCTCGATCCTCTGTCCTCTTTAGCTTACTCCACCATTTCCCTGGATACCTTACATATGCCCAGCAGACTCACACATAAATCAGTAAGAGTAAAAATGATTTGAACAGGATTAATGAACTTGACATGCTTGACATACATAGATTATGGCATCCAATACAATTTTAAGATACATGCTCGTTTCAGGTACACATGGAACATTAACATCAGATATTAACAAAATTAGTCTATATTTTTCGCCATAGGGAAAATATCAATAAAGCAAAATTAAAACAAATCAAGATTGAAATAACGGAGTATGTTCTCTCACCACCTAGGTATTAGTCTGAAAACCAGAAAGATAACTAGAAAAGCCTCTACATGTTTGGAAATCAAAAGACATTTAAAAATAACCCATGGTTCAAAAATAAAGCACAACAGAAATCATGAAATGTTATCTGAATGTTACTAAAAAATACTTTTATCAGTATTTGTGGCACATAGCTAAAAATCTAATGAGATCAGAATGTCTAGTCTTAAATGCACATAGAAAACAAAGCCAGAGAATCAACTATCTAAACATCCACATCAAGACATTAGAAAAACACAGAAAATAAAATTCAAATAAAAAGAAATAATAAAAATAAGACCAGAAAATAGGGAAAAATTAACAGGATCAACAAGAACAAAAGACAGTTCTTTGAAAAGACTAAAAAATTAATAAACTACTGGTGAAACTACTTAGAAAAGACACACTACTAGAAATAAAAAGGAAACATCACTACAGATCCCAAGACATTGAAAAGGTAAAAGATAACTCCAATAAATTTAGATGAAATGAGGTGGGAGACAGTTTATATGTGTCTTGCTTGGTATGCCAAGAATGCAAGACCCTGACTGCTCTTTACCAGAGCCATTTCACAGGACAGTGTTTACAGTGAGCAACCTTGAGATATAAGGTAATGTCTCCCACCAGGACCAGGAACAGGCTTGCTTACTGCTTGCTAGAAAAGGGGTGGATTCAAGCTGTGTTCTTCAGATGTGACACAAACCGACGTATGCAATACCTACATGGACCTTTTCACGTCACCCCCATGGGACTTGTGAGCAAGAAGAACCAATGCGAAAGTGCTGCTTGCTGCCACGAGTAACAAAGTCCTTTGTCTCTGATCCAGGAATTCTGTGTCTTCTCCCAGCACCCATGAAAGAGTAGCAGGTTAGTTATTAGATTGTAAGTGGGGTAAGACCAAATCCCACACCTGATAAAATTGGTAGGTGGGACTTCTGGTGATGGTGAAGATATCATCAAATTCTCTCCCCCCAGAACAAACTGAACAAAATTGTCAAAAATAATCATTTGAGGCAAACAACAAATTGAGAATCATTTACTCATTTAAACAAACCATGCTGAACTTTGAGCAGGAGTTTGTGGCATTCATGCTCTCAATTCCCAAACCCAGCACATTCTGCAGTTATGTTGGTGTGACAGTGCTTGTTATCGGGGAGGCTGACAATGAAAGCTGCTGGAGGGAGCTAACTTGACTTGGAGTGGATGGCAAAAAGTTCATACCTAGTGGTGTGTCAATAAAAATCACAAACTTGGGAGGAAATAAATGGGAAAACCACATAGCTCTGACAATCTGAAGTTGTGGTCTCACATGAGATGAGCAGAAGACCAGTGGATTAGTGAGCTTTTAACAGGAAGATTCTGGAAATGAGAGCTATTAAGGGTCAAG